AAGTGCTCCTGGGGGCTGGGGGGGGGGGCAAAAACAAGCAAAAAACGGCCATTTTTTGCTTGTTTTTGCCCTCCCCAGCCCCCAGGAGCACTTTGCAGGCCTCTCAAACTCTCTGCATGCCCTGTTTTTCATGAAAAATGAGGCATGCAGAGGGTTTGGGAGGCCTGGAGAGTGCAAAATCTTTTTTTAAAAAAATTACCTCTTAAAAATCTTGGTGCGTCTTATACTCCAGTGCGTCTTATAGTCCAAAAAACCAGGTAAGTAAAGCACAAGGGCGGGCAGGCCAACCTGCTCATTGGAGTGAACTGGTTCACTCTCAACTGATTGTCAGAGCTACCGGTTCACCCAAACCGGTCCGAACTGGCTGAATACCACCCCTGAATGCCAGCTGTTAATCAAGCCAGAGAAACCCAGGAAAGCAAAATATTACCTTTTGCTCATGCATTGCTCCTTGTATCCTCCAAAGTGTAAAGAAAGAGTGAGTGGATCAAGTCCTGAAAATACCAATTTTTACTGCCAAACTGGGTGGCTTCAGTGGCCTGAAAGGGACTGCAGAGGATGCACCCTTGTTTCATGAAAGGTTTCATAACCCAGGTTTTCACTCACTTCTCTACTCTCAGTCACAAGACTGTAAGCTAAACAATTTCTTCCAGGCAAGATGAACATAAAGCTGTTGCGCAATTTGCATCTGTGTGAATGTTTGAGATTTTTTTGAAAAAAGAACTTATATCTATGACATAACCCAGGCAGAAGGAAGGATAAGGGGATTGACTCTTGAACTCCAGATTGCAATCCTTCTCCACATGGATTGTCCTATTTTCCATCAACCCCAACACTCTGCCTGACACTTACATTGGAAGGAACTCTTCCAATTCACATCCTCCTTCCAGTGCAAGGAGCTGATAGGGGATTAGTGGTGATGTGATATAGCTTGAAAAACACAATTAGCCAAAAGAGTACCAGCCCCTTCTCATAGCAGGACTCCTAACCAGATTAGTCCCGTGCAATTCCTATGTCTTTATTTCTAGATTTTAAAAATGCACGCAGATTGCTTGCACTACAACAGGGGTGTCCATCCTAGGCAATTTTAAGACTGTGGACTTCAGCTCCCAGAATTCTGGTAGAAGGTACAAAGTCTGGGAGTTGGTCCATCAGTCTTAAAGTTGCCTAGGTGTGGACAGCCCTGTGCTACAACAAGGGGTGTGAAGGGTGACACATCTAAATAATTTAGACTAGGGGTGTGCAATGTAAAGCCCGGGAGTTTCATTGATCTTAGATTTGGATGTGCAACCCAATGTCCCTTCAGATTTTATCATCAAACTAAAGGCCCAATCAGAATTGATTGACTGTGATGATTCATTTAGACCCAGCATGTGATAATACTTAGCTGATCTGGCTGATCTTCACAATCTAAGTAGGATCAGACCTGATTATTGCTTGGACTGGATCCCGCAAGGCATGTTTTTCAGCTTTACTCTTTTCTTTCATCATGCCCCATCTTTTTGAGGTATGTCCCCTCACACCACTCATAACCCCATTGGGATCTCATTCTGATGACCATACTGTAGTTGAATGGTATTATTTGGACCTTAAACCTTCCTGTTTTCTTTTGCCGATCTTTCTGA